ACCTCGGCCTTCACGGCAACGCGCCTCCTTCAGGCAGTACGGGTGGCAGCAAACTTGGTCAGGGGGGGCAACCAGGGTGACCACCCGGCGGGCCATGTGGGCCCGACGAAGGCTCTAGAGGTCCTGTGTGACAGGCGCCAGCTGGAAGATGCTTACGTGGCCACGCATGGGGCCCCGAAGCCGAGGTTGGAATTCCAAGGTAGTGATGGCTACCTCAAGAAGCAATGGCGCTTGATTGCCAAGGGCGAGTTGGGCTACATCCCGGCAAAACACATCGTGAGCGCGCTCCCAGAAGAAGGGGAACGCCCTTCATCCACCCACAAGAAGATCACGGTGGACGGCTGGGACAGGGAGGATGAAGAAGAGGTGAGGAGCCACCCTACATCTCGGCCGACGCTCCTGATGTGCACGGCAGCACTGCCGCAGTTTGGCAACCTGAGGGTCACCAAGGAGGAGCTGGATGATTGGTATGCCTGGTTCTACGGGGAGGACATAGCCGGCAGAAAGCCTCCCCCGAGCGACACCACCTTGCTGTTTGCGGAGCGCAATGCATGGCGCAAGATTCACGAGATGGTGCACCAGGGCACCACTCTCTCCGAAGCCCTCAAGAACATCAGGGGCGACTTCCTCTTAGCACCTCAACAGGGCGCCGACGACGAAGGGGAAGAGCAAGAGCAAGGCACCCAAGGTGTGGCAGACTCAGTGGGAGAAGCCCAAGAAGGGGGGAAAAGGATCCTGGCCCTCAGGGCCTACCCATTCCAAGCCGAAGGGCAAGGGCGGCAAAGGAAAGTCCCCCAACTCCTCCTCGACCCCATGGCCGGACCACTGGGCTTTCAAGAATCCCAAAGGGGTGGCATACGGATCATGCGGCCGATCCCACAACTGCCCAGTCAGGAAGGATGGGGGGGTGTGTGATGCCCCCCCATCGAAGCATGTGCGACAGGCAGCCCACACCTCCCCAAGTGACAGGAGGCCACTCAGGGTGCCATAGGCCCCGTGGCTGCCTGGTCTCCGAAGGGATCACAGGCCACCAGTGCTCTCACAGCGGGGGAGAGCCAATCCCACCAGAGCCACAGCAGGGGGCAGACAGAGTTGGGGAGGCCAGGACGGCCGCAGGTGGGAGGGGATTTCTGCAGGGTGCCACCGGCCCCGGAAGCCCCTCCACCGAAGAAAAGGAGTGGACCCAGTCAGGGCACTCCAGAAGGGCGGAAGCACCCGTTTCCCCCGCACCCACCGAGGCAGTGGGATGAACCCCCAGAGAGACCCAGCGGTGAGGATCCGCCCGGCACGGGGCGTTCCAAGGGCGGGCAGAACCGTCAGGGCAAGCAGCAAGCCCAGGGCCAGACGACCAGTGGGTCGGACAAAGGACACACGGAAACCCCTGGGGGGACAAGCCCCACCTTCCCCTGGATGCAAGACACCCCGGAAAGACTGAGGTCCAGACTAAGGTGGACGCCACGACCGGTGCCGGAGTCGTCGAAGCCGACCCTCATCCTGCTGTACGCTGGGACGGACGACGCGGGGGCCCTGGATGCCTACCTCCATGCCTACAACCCGGCCTTCTCGGAGTACATTTGGGCAGTGGACATTAGGCGAAAGGGTGGCGATCTTGGACAGGACATGCTGGGAGACGAGCCATACTCTACAATGTGCTCCATGGCCAGGGCGGGTAAGGTCGCCTTTGTGGGGGGCGGCCCCAACTGCAGAACGTGGAGCATTCTCAGATGGTTCCCCAAACCGGGAGGCCCGCCGCCGGTGAGGGGCAGGGCGGAGCAGACCCTGTGGGGCTTGGAGGACCTGGAGCCCCGGGTAAGGGAGGACACGGACAACGACAGCGTGCTCATGCTCCGACAGATGTACCTGACCTCGCAGGCCTACCAAGGACTAGGTCAACGAACGGTCCCGCAGGTGGGCTCCTCCTTCCTGGAGCACCCGATGGACCCAATGGAGTGCAGCAAGAGCCCGAGCGCAGCGAGGTGCTCATCGATCTGGGTCACACGGGCCTACATTCAATGGGCGAACGCACTCCACCACTCCCTCATCAAGTTTGACAAGTGCCGCCTGGGCCAGGTGGTAGTGAAGTCCACGACATTGTCAACGGACCTTCCCCTTCACCATTAGGCATGATCTGCGATGCAACCACGGAGCTCAGCCCAGGGGGGAAAAGCTCAACTCCAGTGACCTCAGCCGGTACCCAGAGCAGATGATGCAGGGTCTCGCAGCGGCCATCGGGGGGCACGGTGCCCCAAGTGAACCCAACGACCCCCCCGAGGCGGCAGAGGGAACCATCTCCCCGCACGCCGGGGGACAACAAGCGCCAGTCCCTGAGGCTGAATTCCGGCCAACAAGCGTTGGCGGGACTAACCTTGGGCTCACGTCCACTCTCGGCCTCAGACAATCCTGAGGTCCGGACACCAACACAGCCGGCGGGCAGGGAGGTCGAACTACGGGGTGAAACTCTTCCCCTTCAGCCATGGGCACGCCATTGCATGGAGATCTCGGATCGGCCCACCACCCTGCCGATCACGCACGACCCAAATCTCTCCGACAAGGTTATGTACCTCCAGATGGCCTTCAAACAGCGCCCCCTCAGGGACGGGGGTGGGAAGCCCTCACTTGGACGGCTGGTTCCGTGGACTCGGCCATTGTCCAAAGCAGCAGCGACGGGGGCCAAGATCTGTGTCCTCACGTCGCCATGGGGGACAAACTCCAGGAGTCGCTCTCGTTAAAAAACAGGGCACACCCCTTCCCGGAAGACCTGCTGGAAGATATCAGAAAGATCCTGGCGCCAGGGGCAGGCCGACCAGCGGAAGGCCAACCCTTCTTCCTGGACATCTTGCACAGCCTGGCGCTGAACATTCAGGACCCCGACCACCAGTTTCCTCGGGATCTGGAACAAGGGGTCCCACTGAAGGGGTCACGGACCCACCCCTAGCCTCGCCGGGCATCTGGCCACTCAAGAAGGAGCTAAAAGGGGAGGAGCCGGTTTCAGGAACTCCCTCATCCCACGGGCCGGGGTAACTACCCCTCAGCGGATCACTTCAGTGAGCTCATCCGTAGCACATTCCTGGAGGAGGTCCCCATGGGCATGGTAGATGGCCCTCTCACCAAGGTAGAGGCAGCAGCGCGCTGTGGCTGCAATATGGAGGATCTTTGCCCAGGCCCCCTAGCAGGCATCGACGAAGGGGACAAGATCCGCACCATCTACGATGGCTCGGTGGGGGGGGCCAATGACACCATCAGGAACCAGACGGTGGAAAGGACGACGGCTCCGACGGTGCTGGATGGGGTACAAGCTCTTCATTGGCTACATGCGGCAGCTGAGGAGGGACCTCCCTCTCAGGGTGCCCCCGGCCCCGAGAAGGAGGTCGCTAAACCTCCACCCGAGGGCTGGCAATGGCCGGAGCCGGGCACCAGGTGGGTGCTGCTCAAGGCGGACGTCACCAAGGCCCACCAGAGAGGTGAAGGTCCTCAGGAAGGACTGGCAGTTCCAGGTGGCCTAACTGGGGGAAGAATGGTGGGTGAACACATACGGCATGGCCAGTGCCCAATCCTACTGGGGACGCCTGGCAGCCCTTCTACTCAGGGTCCTCTACGCACTTTTCCCTCAAGTGGATTGGAACTTCGTCTTTGTGGATGACTTCCTGTGGCTGCTTCGCAGCGAGGGGGCAGTAAACTTGGCGGTGGCGCTGTTGGCAACACTCCTGGCCTTGGGCACCCCGCTTAGCTGGAAGAAGACACATTTGGCGGAGGTCAACACGTGGCTGGGCTTCGTGGTCCACCCGAACATCCCGCAGGTTCTCATGGCCGCCAACAAACACATCCTGGTGATGGAGGTCTTGCAGATCATGGTGGAAGGGCAGGCGATGCACTCAAAGGACATCGAGAAGGCCCTGGGCCGCATCCAATGGGCAACTGCTGCATGTCCGCTGGCGAAGTCGATGCTTCAGCCACTGTGGGCCTGGAAAATGGCCACCACCACGGTGGGGAAACCCCCTAAGGTGGTCAGGATGCTGGCGTTCATGCTGCGGTTCCTCTTCAACACGCCCTTCGTCCAGTACTCCCCTTACTTGCCGAAGTCCTCTTGGTGGGGTTGCAGCGATGCTAGCGCCTCGGATGAAGGACTGGCATTTGTGGGAGGCTGGTGCGCCAACAAAATGGATTCAAGAATGGGGATCCCAAGCGGAGGATTGCGGCTCTGGAAATGCTGGGCACGCTCTTCCTCTGTAACATGATCCTCACGCACCAAGGCCCTCTGTCCTCCCGGGTCCGACTCCCGGTGGGCAGTGACGGACAATCAGGGCAACGTCATGGCGATGCTCAACCTTGGATCCAAGAAGCCCTACACCGCGGCTATCCTGATGGAGCTGGTCTTCCTGCTCCACACCCATGGCTGCTCGCTGGCGGCCAACCACGTGCCCCGGGAATTCAACCAGTGGGCCGATGAGCTGACGCACCCAGATTTCTCTGGGTTCGACCCTTTGCACAGAGTCCCTAAACAGGAACTCTGCGAGGAGTTCATTTTTCTCCCGCGTCTCCTGAATGGAGATGCATTTGATCTTAGCGTGGGCCCACCCATGCTCCCGTGACCGGAGCCGGTGGGTGACTCACTTCCCCTGGTGGCAGACCCCCCTGTGGCCTGGGTGCCCCGGGCCCCGGCCCAGGGGCGGGCGCTATCAGTCTGCACACCCGTTCTTCAGTTTTTGAGAGTTTGTGGTGGGTGGCCCATGGGGCCCACCCAGCCGTAGACATCTGACAGGGGAAGATGAGTCCCTGGCACCAACACATTGCTTGGATAAAAGAGTTATCGCTTGCTTGTGTGGTGCCGTTTGGTTAGCTTACATACACATATCAATGTATGCTGGTGTTTCTGGTTTTATTGGGGATTGAAACAAGGGCTTATGAATGCCGGGGTCAACATCATATTAACGACTCTACGGTGTTTGGATATGAAGAGGAGAGGATCCCCTGAGGGCTGCCTTGAACCGCTCGCGTCGCAGGTGCCGCAGGCGCTCTGCGACATGCTGTCTGGAACTAAGGCCGCAGGTGTGGAGGGGTCCGAGTGACCACGCAAATTTGGTTGATGGTACCATTTATGGTTGCACTTAAGGTTCCATTTATGGTCCACTTAGGGTGTCACCTGCGTCCCGTTGGGTGTGTGCGGGGTTTCCCAAGGCGATCTCATCTCTTCCTGCTGCCATCAGCCCCACGCTCAGAGCGGAATGTCATCATGTTTCCACCTACCTACTTTCTGTTTGCCTCGCGAGTCGACACCGTGGCAAAAGTCTCGCGGTTCCCCGTCAAACGCAGCTCAGCCGCTCGACGCAGCTCCGACACAACACATCCCGCGCAGCTCTTCGGAGGTCCTAGCTCTGAAGCAGCGGGTGAACTCGCAGGCCGGCTCTGGGGATGGGCGCGCTGGTCGGGTTTGCTGGCCGGCTTCCAGCTTGTGTTTTAGGGTACCCTTTTGTTTGAGGGTACCTTGTTGGGGGTTTCTTGACAGGGAAGCCGAAGGGAAGCACCCTATTTTGAAGCATCCGGTTGTATTTCTTGCTTGATTTTGGCATGGGCGCAATCGTGGTTGGTTTGAGCCAAGCAATTTTGCAAATAGCACATGCCTGGCACCTCAGAATAGTGGCAGTTTGGGGACAACGTTTCGAATTGACCGAGTGCCAGTCTTTCGGCCAGCGCAAGTCCCGTAGAGATAACGGTCGGAGTTGATTTCAGGAAAGCTCTTTGTCAGACGGGCAGCTCTGTAAAGCTCACGCGAAGGGAGGGCCAAGAAGGGCCGGCATCTCAATACCCCGCTGCACCCCGCTCGCCCAAACTACCCAGCCTTCCGAATTCGAGTTCGAATCGGGCCGGTGGCTTGCCGCGAGGTTTTTGGGGGAAGAGATTTTGCCTCCAACCTCAGGAGTCCATGCCAAAGTTTCGCAAGCCAACGAGAGCTCCGATCCGATGACCGATCCAGGCGGTTCAGTACAAGCTGCTCCACTCCTTGGGGCACTTTGTCTCGCGGCTGGAGCCGCCCTCCAGGAGCTCCGGATCTCGACGTGAAGTTGATTATCAAGTTTGGCCTCTGGTTTGGACCCTTTGGATCAGTTTCCTCGCAAGGGACCCTCTGATGGAGTCCATGTTAGTGGGACGGTAGCTGCCCAACGTTTTGTGTTTTTGTCCAGTCCTCCACTCAAAACATCTCGTGGGCCTCGTACCTTGCCTGTCTTTTGGCTTTTACTTTGCCTCTGTGTGTGTTTGTGTGTGTGTGTGACCGGTCTGTTCAGCAGATGCTTGTTTATAGTGATATGTTCATCAACCCGTTTCATGGGATGCGGTCAAGAGTTGGATGACGGTGCCGCTTCCCCACCCACTATCAGCGAGTCAAAGCCTGTCGCTATCTCGTCCGCGTTTTTTTTTTTTTTTTTTTTTTTTTTTTTTTTTTTTAATAAAAATAAAAAAAAAAATGTTTTTATTGTTTTGTGGGGAAGGGAACGATCCAATTAGGTATAGGGCAGCAACCTTCTGGCAAGATGCTGATCTAGAAGCCGGTTTTGATGCCGCGGAGTCACCCTGCCCCCTGTCAAGATCAGATTCACAGTGGATGTCGGGTTGTGGCCATCATGCCTCAGGTGCCAGCTTGAAAGTGAGCCTCATGTCAGAAAATGCCCATGGCCTGTTCCAACTGCAGGATCCAGCGCTACTTTGGGCTCCTGGTCATCCTTTCGGAGACGCAGTGGCTGGACCCCAGGTCGGGTTTGGTGAGCGGTCGGATTTGGCCCAGCAAAACCAACCTCTTGAAGGGGTGCCTGGACTTGAGTTGTGACAACGCGATTATAGAAGAGAGTCAGGATGTTGTGCCTGCTTTCACGCAACAGTTATCAGAAATTCATGACTTCCATGGACTTACTTGTGTCAGCCTGCCCTCACGCTGCTCTGATTGTCCATGCGAGGGGTTGAACCGGGCTGCTCGCATAGCCGCTTGTCCGCCGCCATCGGTGAGAACTGCCTACCAGAAAACTCGAAAGTGGCCAATGATGCTTTGGGAGCCCCCTACAGCTGTGTGAGCCGTTTGTTCAAGCCGAAGTGGCCGGGCTGAGGGTTGGGCCAAGCCCTGGTTGAAACATGTAGCAAACACTTACAATACACATAGCAAATAGCAAATGTTTAAGCAAGATTGTTTCAGCACACTTCATGGTCAGCAGATGGATCTGTCCTTGTCATGGCTTGATCCATGTGAGAGAGATGCTTGGTTGTCAAGACGAAGAGGGTGGTGGATCCCGCCAGTTCGTCTGAATTGCAACAACCGGTGGGGCTCACCAACGGCAGGATGGCCACGGATCCAAAAGCAGCCACAAGCGTCAAACCATAGCATGGCTCCACCCGGACCTCCGGGTTTCCACGGGAGTTGACTTCAAAAGGGAACTGCGGAACCCCCCCCCAGCCCCGGGCAGAAAAGAGAAAGCAACTTATTGGGGGTTTGGCTCCAATTGGCTGCGGCTCACTGCGGTTTCAGCGCTCGGTTGCCGCGCCAGCTACGTGCTGACCGCGTTGCATCGCCTGGTCTTTTGCCCCTCTTGCCTGACCTGGGAGGCGGGCATGTGGCTGCCTTAGTCACCAGAGTTGCCCCCCCGCAACCCCAAAACGCGCTGTGGAATCAGTGATTCATATTTGGGCATCTTTTTTTGGGAGGGTGACAGGGTGAGCTGCAGTTTGTTTTTCAATAATCAGCCCCTCTTGGTGAAACCAAGGGGTTGCTAAAGCGCACGCCTGGCCTGAACCTCGAAGGCTTGGGCAGTCAGAAGCCCCAGCCTTTGGCTACTCCTGATCTACCCGTCAAAGTCACCCCTCAAGTGGTAGGTTAGAGGGAAACAGCTCCAGTTGCTGACTGTGGCAACACGCAGAACCAGTCAATATAATGCCCCCGGTGCAAAGCCGGCGCAGATAGTCTCAAGTTGGTTGGCCATAAATTCTGCACGCTGTACCGTTGCCCAGTGGACTGGTGTTTCACGGAAAGCCGAAGGCTTTCCTTCCTCCAGCTTGTGTTTTTTGGAACGGATTTTGTCCCAGGCGAAATGGTCAAACCCACACACACACACACATTTTGCCCAATCAGCCGCTTGACACTACCCTATCTTCGCTTTCCCCCCCCCCCACCCGCACCCTCAGACTCAGAGCCTGTTTTTTTTTGTTGGCGTGCCGAGGCGCGTGCTGATTACCTGTCGCAGGATCATCCTCTCGCATCCTCAGGCCACACAGAAGTCGCTGTATGCCTAGGTCCCCCAGAGTGCCCTTTTACCCTTTTTTGGGGGACGGCTCCCTTACTACAATAGACCACAGAAAAAAGGGTACCCTCATTCGATCTCTCTACTGGAGGACCTAGATGCTCATTGGAGCCACAATCGGGCAGACCCTTCTAAATATCAGGTAAATATGACTCAAAATCGGGTCTCAATTACCCGTCCAGGCGGACGATAGATTCTCCAAAATACACTAGAGGGAAGATGAACAGACCTTATTCAGGACGAGTCCTTGATCTCTGCCGAGTGAGTCAACATACTTTACCCAGCATGGCCTGCCAGAGGCGGTGATTTACCAGCCGATGCTGCGGCTCCTTCAGCACTTGGCCACCTACCAGCCGTCTGCCTCAGATCGAAAGATGGAGTGCTGCTCGACTCGGTTGGCCAAAGATGACCCTTTGACCTCTCTGGTGCGATAGGTGGGGAATGACCTTACGGGTGTTGGGAATGAACCTGGGGATTCCCTGAAAGGAAACCATGGGGGATGGTTGAAGGGGGTCATTCCCTCACTCCCAGCTGTCCATTTGTTTGTCATGGCTCCCAAAGCTCAACTTTAGGGCGGGTGAGTTGGACATTGGCAGGGTTGTCGAAACATGGGATAAGGAGGGGGGCGGTGGGGTTCCCTTGGATTTCCCTGCAATGTAACCCCATCAACAGAGTACCCTCAAGACACACAAAAACATGAGGGCCACATGTCATGCAAGGGAAGGAAATACATTGGTTTCAATCTTGTTTCCGCTTATGCTTAGGGGATTTTCCACATGCATGCCGCGGATGGCAGGGTTGAGGATTGGTCAAAGCAGGGTTGGAATTGTCGGTCCATGGCCTTGGTGCGGTGTCTTTCTTTGACGCCAGGGCTGCAAAGCGGCATGGCTTCTGGCTTCACCTTGAAACCAAACAAAGGGGGGTTCCTCCAAAAAACGACACTCACTCGGCACTGACGTCGGGGCTGCTCGGAACGCAACCCTCCAGTGTTTTTCACTGCAGCTCCTTCGGAACAGACATGAGGTCAGATGTCGACTTGCGAGACAGGGCCCTGCTCTACATGAGGCGGCGGAGGGAAGGGGTGAGCCCCACCAGTTGATAGGTTTTCTCAGAGATGAGTGGGAAGAATAGAAAGACACTGCAGGGGGCGGATGGTCTGAAGGTGCTGAAGGTTGCTTTTGCATGGAATCCTGTTGGTTCTTGGATCTGACGGCATGCCTTTTATGAGAGCGAGAGAGAGAAAGATCAAGAAAGAGGGACAGCACATCGTGCCTTTCTTTGAGGTCCTACATGGAGTTACCACCAGGGTTCCACTTTTTGACTACCCCCACAATGACTTAAACCCAGGGGTGGGTCTCGTACCCCAAGAAGGAATCCCTGGGTTTCAGTCTATTTGCAGGTAGTCAAAAAAGAGAACCCTGGTTACCACGCACCTTATGACAAGATTCCACTCACACGGGGCTTTGATTGTTGAAAGTGCTTTGGACATGAATCGCTCTCGGCTTTGCTATTTGATGGCTCAAGTGCGGCTCCGCCCCCCTGTGTGCTTTTGGAACCTGTTGCAGCCATGAAGTTCAAGGCCCGGATGGGGCTGGGGGGGCGTGCTCATGCCCTGGGAATCAAGTAATTTTACGCGGTTGCTCATCAGAGATCACTGCGGCACCATCCAGCCCCCGTTTTTGCAGAACCGGCCGCAGCCTCCTCGGGACTGAATGGGACACTTGGAACCCCAAAGGTGCCTTTGACGCATTGCGCCGCCCAAGCCATGGCACAACCCGCTACGTTGATGGGGACCGGAGAAACAACGAAAGCGGCAATGCGGGGATGCGTCAACTTCGCGACCCGGTTATGGCCAGTTCTGCATGGAGGTGCCGCAGTCATTTGTTGGCATGTCTACGTCTGAAGCCGCAGGCGTGCGTGTCCAGCAAACGGCGCAGGGGCCTCAGGAGTTTGGGAGCACAGCCTTTGCCTCGTGTTCCTGGGACCCTGAAATTTTGGGGCCCAGAGGGTCCAATGTCAGCCCAGTAATTGGGGCGGCGATGCATCGCGCCTATTGGCCAACCCCACCATGTGCCTCCCGAGATGCTTCAATCACGCCGTGGTCTTTCGGTTTGTCTTTGTCTTCCATGTCTTCCCGATCCTGGGCCACTTCATCGGGGTCGGGGGGGTCCAACGAGGGGCCCGATTTCAAGTGAGCGGTGTTTCCGCAGTTGTTCTTTGCAGGGCCTTTTGACAGTGGATTTTGAAAAGAGGCAGGGTTCATCTCAAACGGCTTTCGCGGCCTCGTCATTGCAAGCAGACCCACTCTCGTCCCCTCTCTCCCTCCAAGACCCTGCTTTGGGATGTGGCTTCCTCTCTGAAAGGACCCCAGCTCGATGGAGGCATTTTTTCCAAGACTGGATGTCATGTTTGGCACCTGGGGCCTCAAGGTAAGGCCGGGCTCGCATCGAGGGTGTGATGCGGGTGGCCACAGGCAAGAACCGCAAGACTCACTTCACGGCACCCTCGCACCTTCGCAGAAAGATCATGAGCTCGCCGCGGCCTGAGTGCTGTTGCTCTGGCAGCGAAAATCATGGATCCAGCAACTACAGTGTGTCAGGCAGCAGAGTGAATCGTGGATCTCCCGCAGAGAGAGAGAGCACCTTGTTCCTACACCCACAGGAGCCAAACGAATGAGTCAAATGAGAGAGAGCTTCGTGCGATTGACGCGGCAAGCCCTTGCGCCCCGTACCCGACGACGCGAGGCCACTCAGTAAGGACCTGCGGAACAAGTACAACGCCGCGTGCTCAAAACGGCCCTGAGCTCACGGAACATGAATCCCTTGGGAAGGCACCTTGTGAAGGCACCTGTCTGAGAACATGTGAATCAAACGGCCTCTCTTGTACTTCTGGGTGTGTCTTTTTTAATACCCCAAAGTGGTGGTGTCCGTTTGATGTCTTCTTAAAACCACCCAAACAAGAGTACCAGCGCCAAGAAACAACCCAACGGATCAACTTGGCGGGGGTCTCTCGATTTGCGCGCTGTCCACACGGGTCACAACATGGGGCAAGCCGAGGTGCGGGCAGTGCCCATCAGAAGGGACGATGAGGTGAGGATTGTGCCGCCCGGACTGCGCGTGTCCTTGAGACGAGAGTGGCCTTTGGGTGACGTAGACGGCAAACAGAGGATACCAAACATTTGGACCTCCAAACCAAAGCACAGCCCCATGTGTGGCAATCTCGCCTGGGTTTGTGGGTTTTTCGACTGCTGTTGTGGGAATGCTCAGCTGTGCTCTACATGGGAAGGTGGTCGTTTTTGAACGCGTGTTTCGGCTCGTTTTTGAACGCGGTTTTCCTCAAGTGTATGTGATTTACAGCAGCGCGGCCATTTTTCCAAGTGTCCATGCACACCACGATGAGGCGCACGAACACGCGCCACGATGCACGTGTAGCACATGGATGGCGCCGTGCTTTTTGGAGACAATCGTCAACTGTAGGCCCGGGAACACAAAGCACAAGGAACGCAAAGCGACATCATCATCGTCATCATCATCATCATTATCATCACATCGACATCGTCAACATCATCATCATCATCATCATCATCACCATCATCATCATCACCATCATCATCATCATCAACATCGTCATCATCACTACCAGCAACATCACCTTCATCCACATCAACACCAACATCATCATCGCCATCATCAACATCACCACCAACATCCATATCATCATCATCATCATCAACAACACCATCAACATGACCATCATCACCATCATCATCATCAACAACATCAACATCCTCAACATCGTCAACATCGTCAACATCAACATCATCACCATCATCATCATTAACAACATCATCACCATTATCAACATCAACGTCGACATCACCATCATCATCAACAACATCATCAGCATCATCAACATCGTCATAATCATCACCATCATCATCATCATCATCATCATCATCATCATCACCATGACCATCATCAACACCGTCATCATCAATATCAACAACACCACCATCACCACCAGCGCGCAGTCGCACGGTCACGCAGTAAGAGGCGAACGTAACTGCCCCACCCCATCCCCCCCCCCAGCTGCAGGACGCAGTCGCACGGTCAGGCAGCAAGAAGCAAACGCAACTGCCCCACCCCACCCCCCACCCAGCCCCAATACGCAGTTGCGCCGCCACGCAGAGGCTCCGATTCGCAAGTTACTTAGGCCGTATGAGCTAAGGAGGTTTTTGTGTCGCGAGGACAAGATAACTCAGAGCTTGAAATTTCACGAGTTTTCACGGCTTTTTCACGGAGAAGTAACGGCCTTTCAGTTTCCCGCGCGAGTTATTACGGCCGTTAGGCCGAGTTTTCACGGCTTTACGGGGGCCAACGGGCGCAAATCACCGAGGACATCTGAGCTCAAAAAGCCAAGGTAACTTGGGACTCGGGGCCCCCTTTTCCCAGTCCCAGGGCGCAGTTGCACGGGCACGCAGTAAGAGGCGAACGTAACTGCCCCACCCCATCCCCCCCCCCAGCCGCAGGACGCAGTCGCACGGTCAGGCAGCAAGAAGCAAACGCAACTGCCCCACCCCACCCCCCACCCAGCCCCAATACGCAGTTGCGCCGCCACGCAGAGGCTCCGATTCGCAAGTTACTTAGGCCGTATGAGCTAAGGAGGTTTTTGTGTCGCGAGGACAAGATAACTCAGAGCTTGAAATTTCACGAGTTTTCACGGCTTTTTCACGGAGAAGTAACGGCCTTTCAGTTTCCCGCGCGAGTTATTACGGCCGTTAGGCCGAGTTTTCACGGCTTTACGGGGGCCAACGGGCGCAAATCGCTGAGGACATCTGAGCTCAAAAAGCCAAGGTAACTCGGGACTCGGGGCCCCCTTTTCCCAGTCCCAGGGCGCAGTTGCACGGGCACGCAGTAAGAGACTGCCCCGCCCCACCCCCCCCCCCCCCAGCCCCAATACGCAGTTCCACCGTCACGCAGTCAGCAGCGATCGCAACTACCCCCTTCCCCCAGCCCCAGGATGCAGTCGCACGGTCACGCAGTAAGAGGCGAACGGAACTGCCCCACCCCACCCCCACCCCCAGGACGCAGTGGCACGGTCACGCAGTAAGAGGCAAACGTAACTGCCCCACCTGCCGCAGGATAGCCCCCCATGTGTTCGAAAATGACCCACTCTGTGTTCGAAAATGATCCAGGACATCGGTGTTCGAAAATGATCCAAAATCGGTGTTCGAAAATGATCCCCCACCCCTCTACATTTCTCCTGAGGCGTGGCCACTACCACGACCGAGAGGGCAAGGTCGTGCAGGTGTACAGGAAGAAGTTCTGCCAACTTGGCGAGTTGCGAGCGGGAGCCATGTTGGCATTGCTCGTCGTCGATGTTTGGCCGCGCGCCGCGCTGGTGTGCCTTTTGTTACACGCACGTGGTTCATCCACGAGGCATGCATGGGGCATGACTGGTTTCAGGCATGCCATGTTGAGTAAGGACTGGTGGGTAGCTCTCAACATGTGGTTTGCCTGTGCGGTGGCTTGCAGGATGGAAATTGGGCCATGTACGCCTACGCGGAAATGGCCGCGCTTAGATATGTATATATACATATATGTATATGTACAAACGTGTATGTATACCTATCCCCGAAGCCATGTCGATACAGTTGCATTTCCATTTGCCCTGGACGCTCCTTTTTGCTGTGCAAGGGGACACTTTGCATTGTTTGATCATTTGTGGTCTCAGCTTGAGTTGAGCCCGCTTGGGATCCTGCGAGGCGCATTCTTGGTTGCTCTTGTGACCTGCAACCTTACCTTGGGGAAAATCAGTGTTTCCCTCCGCACAGTCAAATGGCTGTGTCTTTTTCGGGGTACTCCCCCAAAAACGGTTGCTGGTTTCGCTTGAAACCCCAAAACATGGCCCTAAAAAAAGACCCACCCAAGCAGTTCTACTTCTTGGGTGTCGAAGTCCAACCCGTTGCTTTCCGTGCCAGGCATCCACGTGGAGCGGGTCACCAGGGACAAGACCAACGGGCAGACGGTGCCCATCCCCATTCACCCGTCCAAGGCGAAAACGGGTGTGTGGGGGGGGGGGGGGGGAACTGGACTGAAGCATAGGGTAGAGGTCAGTTTGGTTGAACATTTTGACCAACATGCAGGGAATGCCGAACCGTCCAGGTGGGGAAAGTGTCACTTGCAAGGGTGTTTTGTAAGGTCAGTTTGTTTGAACTTCGATGGATTCCACTGGTTTCAAGTTGGTTCCAATAATTTGCAAGTGCCATTGGGAAGTAGAGTGGTCACTTCAAAGTCTGGGGATCTCCTTTAGTATTTTGTACTACAGTATTCACTGAATATGGATCACAATTTGAAATACCATGTTTAGTTGGGGGCAAAAGGTGTCTCTTTTCCTTGGGAGAGGCCACCAATCAACTCGAGCAAACTTGCAGCAACAATGAGTGTTTTTTCCTGGCCCGCTCTGATTTCGGCATCAGCTCTTTGGTCCGAAGCTTGTGTGTACGAGACAGCAATTTCCCACGTCGGCCACTGAAGGTTTGTCGGAACACCTGGTGCAAAATCTCGCGGGATGGTCCCAGAAAAAAGTGTTGTTTCGGGTTTCTTCCACGCACCTCTTTTGGGTGTGTCTGAAAAGAATCACGCCTTCTTGCATGGTCTAAAAGAGGCATCCCCGACCACCTGTAGGGTACTGCCCCTGATTTTTCAG